CCCCATATTTATATGAGTGCTCTAAACACTGTCATCCCTTCACAAAGATGAATAATGCATTTAGCATTGCCTGTAATTGACCCTCTGAATTTGCATAAAGCATGTGCTTGCATGCAAGGAAAGCTGACGCGACACAGTAGTAGAAATAATAACACACCGAGTGTCTGTCAGTGTCAGAATCACACATGAGGACAGGGTTCTCCCTGTCCTCTTCGCTTAAAATGCTGCTGCAGCAGGTTATTTCTTAACACTGAAGAGGTTATGAAACTCTCTAGTCACAGTTGGACCTGTCCACCTGTTTTTCTCTTAGTCTGGATGTTAGTTGTAATTTAAAAATTATTTATGTTTATAATCATTTTGAGTTGTGTGGGGATGTTGTATTGAACATCAATCTGATTACTTTATCTAGACGTTTGCATAAATTTGACATACTGTGAAGTAGGTTGACAGATCAAACATTTGGTCTATAAAATATCAGAAAATAGTTTTTTTTAAAATACTGAGGTATTCAATTTGCTTATTTTGTCCAAAACCCAAAGATATTCAGTTTATTATGAGAAAATAAAAGAAACCACAAATTGTCATATTTAAGAAGCTTGAACAAGAATAAGTTTGAAAAATTACTTAACGATTATTGACTAACTGATCTATTATCAAAATTGTGGCCAATTCATTTTCTGTCAGTCTAATCAAATATTAATTTCAGCTTGAATCACTTTCATTATTTGTATATTTATTATATTTATATATTTTGTAGATTTACATTGTATTATAAATCAACATTAAGACCCAACAATTCCCACCATGAGCAAGCACTTGGCAACAGTGGCAAGGACATTTTTTAATTTAAGAGGCAGAAACGTCAACGTCACCCCGACTCTAGGTGTGCGGCCGTCTCTCTTTAATCTTACAGCACCATCTATTATTCAGCGAGAGCAGGTGGGAGGGGCGTGGTAAAAGGGTATAGGGGCATGGCTAAATGGAAAGTGGGTGCAGAGGGAGGGGGCAACCAAGGGTGGAGACGTATGTGTGTGTGTGTGTGTGTGTGTGTGTGTGTGTGTGTGTGTGTGTGTGTGTGTGTGTGTGTGTGTTCGGGTAGAGGATGATTAAAAAGAGAGGCAATCCCCCACCCTGTGCACATTTTAAGCTCACTCCAGTCCTATGAATGGTAAATTGTAGCCAGCCGCTGAGATGGAGGAGTAAGAGGAAGACAAAGACAGCGAGGGGGAATAAAGACCCCGTGACCCATCGACCCCCTTCTGACTTCCTCTCTATAGCCTGTCACACTTTAGATGGGTGGCTCGTGTCAATACGGCATGTTGCTAATGAAAGAGCTAGTGCCTACAGCACACACATTAATACCATTAAAAGATTATTCTCACCATACAGGACACACATGGTGACCAATTTCTTATCTAAACAAAATGTTTCGGTGCAGGTTGTGAGGACAGCAACCTCTCAACCCTCCCTCTTGCACAGTGCACGCTGGGATATCCTGAACAGGATAAACAGGTATACTGAATGAATTGTTGGCTGGATGGATGGAAGAATATACAGAAAAGGTCACATCTTAATATAAAATATAAAGGCATATATAAGCAAAAGTGTTTGTTTTTTTAATAATGTGATATAATATGAAATATAAAGTGAGTCTTCAGCTACGCTCTGTGACGCTTTACTTACAGGTACAACAATGCTGTGATATAAATGCTAACATCAGCATACTAACTGCATACTTGGCAGGTATAATATTTCGCATGTTCACCATCTTATTTTAGCATTATAACATTTGCTAATTAACATTAAACACAAAGTGCTGCTGAGGGTGATGAGAATGTCATTAGTTTTTTAAATATTAAATATTATATTATATATATAAACCAAAGTATTTAACAAACAGAAATCTTCACTTCATGGTGGCGCTAGATGAAAAGTCAGAGGATCACTAAAGTCAGTCAGCCTTATCCTCTGAATCATGAATGTCTGTTTCATGGCAATCGATCCAATAGTTATTGAGATATTTCAGTCTGGAGCAAAGTGGCGACCATCTGACAGACATTGCCATCCATGCTGCCAGCATTGCTAAAAATTTGTGTGGACAACACACACTTAGTCAAATTTTGACATTTGAAAGTAAGAGCAGTAGATTGAACCTTTACATATAACAACCAACATGTGTCCAAAAAGCACATGTGCTTCGAATTCAAAAGACATATGACTTTATAACAAAACGCCTACACTCCTATTATTCACAGTCTATGACCAAACATTGACTTGAGGCAAAGACTCTGAGACAGCTGCTCGAAGAAGATGATAATACATACTGTAGCACTGGAGCTGAAAAACACACCTTTCATGTTCACTCATGGCAACAATTAAACACAAAAAATACACAGCAGTAGAGTCACTCATTAATCAAACTGAGAGAACTCGGTTTTGTTACTGGGAGCCAAAAAACAATGTTGGCCCATTCAGCTAAAATACCTCCCACTCCTGCACCCACACACACATCAACTGGGTTTATTCTGTCTGGCATGAAAGCTATCTGTAAACAAAATCGGTGTGGCTGTCAAGCGGGGGGATCAGTTCACAGAGGAGTGTGGTAGAGGACGGTGATGAGGAGAGAGGAGGGCAGCAGAAGGTTTCTGGGGTGTACTCATTCAGTCACAGAGGGAAACTTAAGATTTGCACCCTTGAGGGACATAAAACTGGGATTGGGACGAAGACATGAATACATGCAGAGTGACAAAACAAAACATTCCCACAACTTTACCAATCACCGTACACACACGGCTCTAACTAATGTTTTTTTCATCACCAACTAATCATTTAATCATTTAAGTGCCTAAAATAGTGAAAAATGTCCATCACAATTTCTTATTTTATTTTTTGACTGTTGCCAACCAACAAAACGTAAAGACAAAACAAAGCAGTAAATCCTCATATTTGGGAAGCTGGAACCAACCTATTTGTTGACCTTTTGCTTGATAAATTGCTTAACTGATTATCAAAATAGTTGGCAATTAATTTTCTAATAATAATAATCTAACCAATTCATCATTACTTCTATATAACTGTTTTGGTTATTAAAAGAAATGTCAATTAAAGGGTTAACAAAATAGTTGCTGACAATATCTCTTTGCACTGGCCAATCAATAATTTACGTTTCAGCCCGACAAATAGTACAAGGATTTTAAGAGAAAAGAGATAGACGTCACACAGTACAATGCTCTATTGCACTGATCTCTCATTCTTATTCAGAACCACACATGTCAAACAGTTGCCCAGAGCTGTCTGCTTGGAGGTTAAATCACTCTCTGGAAAGCTAGAAACAGGACTTCACAAAAGTGTTTCCTTTTAGCCGATATACTGATGGACTTTTTGCACCACATACAGTGAAGACATTATGTAAAATAACGCTGAAAGCACCCAGTGTCACACAGATGAATAATGACTTGTTGCATCAAGCGCTGATGAAAGTGTATGTGCATGTGACAGCTTGTACATGCATGTGTATGTGTGCAGATGACACATTTATATCCATGACTGGTTGGTGCATCATGCAGTGAGCTGCAGGGTTTACTGAAACATATCCTCTAAACCTGGGAACTCCTGTGATGTAATGTTTCACTCAGTAGGGGAGTGACTTCCGCTGTGATGAGTAGGCAGCATCACCTTATGCGTGTGCCAAGTTCACAGGCTTTCTGTTTTGGGGCTAAATGAGACAAACAAGCCATCGTCTCGAAGAGTGACAGAGAGAAACAGAAACATAACAGAGGAAAGGTTGAGAGAGGAAGATGCCCAAAAGGGCAGTTTAAAAAAAAATTAAATGTATGAGTTGGAGGCAAAAGACAGAGAGAGAGACAGAGAGAGAGAAAATAACAAGAGAGAGAGTTGCTTGCTTTCCATCAGCAGTGCTGTGATCAATATCAGTGTCTGACAGGGCAATACTCCAGCCTTTACCATAAATCACTTCCTATTATGATAGGACCTCTAAATCACTCTCACACACACACACACACACACACACACACACACACACACACACACACACACACACACACACACACACACACACACACACACACACACTAACTGACCGGCTGTAAGCACACAAAAACATACATATAAAACACACAGATGCATTTACATTCATTCATACAATGGCCCACTTCAGCACACAGCATTAGATATTTATGTCCTCAGAGTGCATTCCCAAAAACAGGTAATAAACTGCACTAAGAGAGCAGGAGAATGTGACTTCTGTCCAGCAGCAACACAATGGCAACTTCAGCTGAAATACTGGAGTCAGCACTAGATTAATGTGCACTTTGGGATTTACACTAAACAAAAACATAATGTGAATTTAAACTTAAAAGTGTTGTTCAGGCCTGAGAGAATGACGTATAACTCCTGCCGGGATCATTTCAACAAGCAAGTGAACATTAAAGTCATTTCATGAACGTTCAGGGGTTAAAAATGAATCCACCTTCATTTAAATTTACACAAAACAAAAGTGTACAGACAAGCTTTATAGGTAGAAGAAGTTCGTAGACAGACACTTAGACAGCTAGCAAGACAAATTAAAGAATCAAATTAAAGCGGCACCGAAGTCCCGCCCACACGCCAGGCAGACTCAATCGTGAGCAGGGCTCAGCTGTCAATCATGATGCTAAACCCCCTTTTCATAGCTTAGAATAACTAATTCAAATCAGATTTATCAGAAAAATTAACACTTGAACAAACAACAGCATGATAAGAACAACCTAAAAAGACAGAAACTATCTTTGGGAAAAATGTATTTGACGTGAATTTTTTTAGTTTGACCCATCTGCTAACAGGGAGGCAGCAGGCTTTAAGACCTATACTGCAGTCTGGTACCAAGGGACAATTGAGATGTTTGACTGTAATATCGTCCATCTTTATATATGTTAATGAGCGAGACAGACAGACAGACAGATAGCCAGACAGACAGACATATTTAATAATGTAATACTCACTGATTCAGTTCCACATCCAAGATGAATTTTCTGCCAAAAGCATCAACTTGAAAGCTTGCTTGGGCCACATGGTTCACCTAAAAATGCAAAGAAGACAGGTTATTTACTATTACTAAAGACAGGCATTATCATATTCATGGATCAATTCATTTTTATATGCAAAGATCAATTCTCATCTACATTGACAGATGGCTGCATTGTCTTTTTTTTCCAGCACCAATCAATCAGCTGTAAGAATAAGTCTGTTTTCATTAAGCCATCAAGGTCTGTCTTCTTCTGAATTTGAATTTCTGCAAAGCATCTCACGTAACACACCTCTCATGTAATACCCACAAACACACACACACACACACACACACACACACACACACACACACACACACACACACATTCATGTGGATAACATAATTATTATACATATGCTATTATTTTACCTCAATGACCACTCATTTCTATGTTTACCAGACTGGTTTTGTAACAGTTTCACAAAGCCAAGGATTCATGGAAATCCCTAAACCCATATTGAGCCATATATATGTCTGCCAGTGATAATATGTACACCAATACAGAAATTCACACTCTTTCTTCCCCGACTGCATGTACTGGGTCATTGATCCGATTCATTCCTAGCTCTGGCCACATATGGTACAGGCATCATTACACACCCTTGGGTCAATAAGATGTCCCCACAATCATTCCTGTGCAAGTCCAGAGGGGGTCCCAGAGCTGAGCTAAAACACAGCTCACCCTCCCCCAGGCTCGGACCACGGGCTACCTTCATTATGCCGCAAGACAACAAGGGGAGGAGGGGTGTGTGTGGGTTTTTTTGTTTCCATTTGAGGAGGTGCCCCTGTGTTCACCCAAGGACGACCTTAGCTTGTGAGGTCCCCATTGGCCACAGACTCTATTGTTAGTAGGAGTGTGTCTGTGCGTGGTCAATGCATATATGAGCGGGTAAGAGGGTAAGTGGGTGTGTGTATGTGTGGGTGGGTGTGAGCACGTACAAAGGGCAATCCCTGTTTATGGCACACTTGTGATGAAATCTAATCTGGCAGACTGGATCCATGATGGGAGGAGGTACCAGTAATTGTGTTTAATGAAAGCACATCCCAACTTTACTGAGCCAGTCCAATATTCCGAGGCCACCGCTGACTCTTCTTACATTGATTTCTGAATTATAGCAAGTCTGACTTTCCACTCATGACTGTTAAAGTATGACTGTAAGTGCTATCAATCCCACACACACACACACACACACACACACACACACACACACACACACACACACACACACAGAGGCAGGAAGGCAAATGTACAAACCAACACACACATGCTCAGACAGATTCCACTTGAGGCGTTTGTTTTTCCACCAAAACAACACGAGCACTTTGCTGAACTCCCCACCGCTCATTCAGTGGTGAAGCTGTTTGCGTCTGAAAATAGGCAATGCAACAGAAGTCTATAAATAACCTCCTGCGTGTCATACATTTTCAGAACTATTTGACAGATTTGTTTTTAGGCCGTTGATCTAAAAACAGCTAATAACTGATCAAACTTTGTGCAAGTGACATCACGGCTGATTGGAGAGCAGATTCAACTCTCAGGAGAATAAGAGACTCAGAACATCAGAAATCCAATCAAAGATGCCAGCGCCTGCCTCCTCCTCCGCCTCCTCTTACCCTGGATCTATTTCTCACTTGCAAATGTATATTTTATAGCTTAACTAAGTTTCAGATTATTACTGATTGCCCGTTGGCATGTTATTTTGATAACCATGAGATGACATAATGCATTTTTCAGTAAAACAAACACATCTGCTGAGCAGGAATTACACACAAAAGAAAATGAATCATTATTATATGAGAATTTAACCATGATATGAGATGGGTTGAGCAAATCTGTGTAGAAAGTAAAAATGATTCCCCTGCTCTGCAGAAATGAGTCTCCTTGCTTTAAAATCCAGTTTATGTTATGTGACAAACCCGTGATGGAGATTAGTATCAGCTTCAAAAGGAAAATATTAAAATTATATCTGATGGCAGATGGTTCCTGTTAGCTTGTTTACCCATCGGGCTGCAGCTCTGTCTGAGGTGTGAGGGAGACAAAGGGTTAGCACCTCCCTGCATGCTACCATCTGTAGCGCTCTCCACTCTCTGAGAGCCCTGAATAGGCTAGCCTACACAAGCCTAAGCCGCACAAATTAAAAACGCATGACAGGACTGCACAATGCTAATTGACTCATTTCTTGAAATGAACCCAGCAGCCAATGCCGCTTCACTGAACTGAGTCAGTGAACACAGTAACAGTGATTATGATTATTCCTGCACTGTATCGGTTATTATAGACCAAATGGCTCTGCTAGGCTTTATTGTCATATACTGTTGTCCCCATTGTTTTTAGATAACTACCAACAACTTTCTGCATAAATGTGTTACATGACAGATTTAGTGGGCTGTTATGTCTGTGAAACAAAGAACTAGCCTTCAGTTTGCTTGGCTACATAAAGGTTTTGTCATCCAAACACTGGCTACAGCACAAAATCAATGTTCAATAACTATAAATTTATGTATATGTTTTATTGCTGTGTATTGGCAAGAATCTGGCGAAACGATACATGTCACAATACAGAGGTTACGATTCAATATATTGCAATATTGTGAGCAAGGTGATACACATTGTGATTTCTTTTTCAATCTAATTCTGGAAAACGGTCGAGAACAGATCAACATATGCATAAAATCTGATTTTTTTGGTAACCAGAACAGTGAGATCTGTGCTTGGTCGGGGGTTTAAAAACAAAAATCGATACAGTGTTTTTGAGAATCGATACAATATCACTAAGCAAAATATCACAATACGATATTTTTCAATATTTTCTTACACCCCTAATACATTTATGTCCCCATTTATTTGTGAATTATCCTGGGAATCAATCCTTCTTCAGAACATCTTTCCTGCAGTTTATCGCAGTAAATATTCAGATATTGAGCTAGCAGAGCACCAAAGATATTAGATGTTCGTGGGAAATGCCTGTGTTGATATTTGAGAGCTAAAAATGTTCAAACATAAACAGAGAATTGTGACGATACTGAGCGGGATATTCAAGAGCTGAAAGATAAACTTGTCAGTACCCTCTAGTGGACAAACTGTAGCACTGTTTGTAAATTATCTTAAGTATAGTGTATCTTTAACAGTTACTGCAACGTCTTGATGCTTATCAGCTACCGATACAGATATATCTGTGATAATCTAAAATCTACTTAGATATATTGATTAAGCTCCAACAGTGAGATTCTGGTCACTTTCATGACTAAAGTGAAAAATGCTGCTAAATGGGATATGAGATCTGAGCTGGTACAGAGGCGGCGGCTGCTGGGACAGAAAAGATGCAAGTTATCACTAAATTATTAATTATCCTGGTTGGCCAGATGACTTTAGCTGATGATTTTCCTTAAATGTGCAGCGTGGACAGAGTAAACGTGACAACAGAGGAGCTAAGCTGAATATTGTATATCAGTCTACATGCAGTGGTCTGCTGTTTGCATGTGCAGACTTTGATGACCCATATAGCACCTGCACACTGGCTAATTAGTGCGGCCTATTCCTGCCTAAATGTTTCAAGCTTCTTCTGTTTTGCTTGTAATTAACTAATTATTAATTTCCCTCCTGAGAACAAGGGCAGAGGAGGAGATGAATGAATGCAAACACAAACACGCAATAATAAAAGGCATCTCTCTCTCTCTCTCTCTCTCTCTCTCTCTCTCTCTCTCTCTCTCCAGCACACACAGTATAGACACTCCTCTCTCTCTCTCCTCTCTCTCTCTCTCTCTCTCCGCCCTGACAACACTGAAAACACCGTGTACCTGAGTGGAGCCGGGGCTGCCTTTAACCCTGGTGCTGAGCTCGTCCTGTGTGATCTGGCTGTGGTTGTGCTTGCTGTAGAGCAGGCGGAGAGGCACTGTGTCCTCCTTCCCGACAAACCTGCCCGCATCACGAAGAGCCTTCAAGCTCGACAAGGCGTCTCCTGCACAGAGAGGAAAACACCGATTTCATTACCCGCCTGTCCCTCCGTGCGGGGAGTGATCACAGACACATTGAACACAAAACACCGCCATCTGAAATGTCGATTAATCCTATTTCCTTTGATAACATGAAAGTAGCTACAGGCTACATGCATATTTTAGATATGTAGATCATGAAGTAGACGGAGCAAAATAAAAAAAAACAAATAAAAAAACAAACACAGGCCTATAAATGGTGATTTAACGCTTTGTTTGCACGATAATAATTCATGTAATATCTGAAATAACATCAGTTACCATTTTGGGCATTAGGGATGCTCTGGTGACCGACGTGCATCAATCCACAGACGCACAAAAGGGAAATCCACCATCGCGGGCGCATCATCAGCATCATCACCTTTCTCTCCCTTGTAGGAAATTATAAAACAATGCGGTATTCCAGGAGCAGGCTCTCGGGGTCCTGCCTTCGCTAGGGGAGCTTGAAGCCTGGGCTGGTCGTCTGGTTAGCGCAGTCCCTCTGGTTGGGGGCCATCGGGGTCCTTACGAGTCTGAACGCCGAGCGCGTCTGAGCGCACCGAGACCCCGCGGATCAGCAGCACGGAGGAGGCAGGGAGGAGAGAAAGAGAGAGAGAGAGAGAGAGGAAGAGAGAGAGAGAGAGGAAGAGGAAGAGAGAAAGAGAGGGAGGGAGGCAGGAAGGCAGGGATGGATGGAGGGGAGGGGAGGACTGGGGACGCCTCCTTAAAACACATCAATATCCAGCGGCTCACTGCAGAAACGCCGAATGCATAAATATGAGCGAGCGGTGGAGACGGGATGGAGGGAAGCTGCGGGCCCGGCCTTCAGCCGACTGGACCGACACGAACGATATCAGCCTCCTCCACGCTCCTCCGTGTTAAATTGCAGCAAGAGCGCCATTCCTGCCCAGTTCTGCTTGTTATTCATCATCATGAGTCACTCCATCATCTGCCAGGGCACCAAAAAAATAAATAATAATGTGTGGTGGTGGTTTTGTTTTTTCCATTATTGGAGCTGCAGCAATATAAGATTGATACCTTAAGTCATATTTTCCACTTTACCATGTTTAACACAATTTAGAAATGTCTTTTCTTATTTGACATCCTCATGTGCAGTTTGTTCATGCGTCCAAAACACATTTAAACTGTTGAAACATGGCAGCATGAACAGAATCTGTTACGTTACTTTAACACCAGACCTGCACCAGATGATCCAACCTGGTGCAGACTTGCCCCAGAGCCATGCAGCAAATATTACAGAATTAATGAGCTGGTGAGAATGATTTTTTTTTTTCTTCCCCCAGACACATAACAATTGTTTACTCAAGGAGCTGATATGGCTCTGAGGCAAGAGTTCCAACACAATCTGGCACAATGTTACATCAAGTCAGTTAATATTTATAACTCTTTTTGTTAGAAATACCCTATTTTAGATATGACTGTAACATAAGGAAAATAAACTGTTTATAAAGTTGCAGATGTTTCATTGCAGGCCAGAGTCACTAACGTTTTACACAACATACACACCCAATGCAGGGCTGAGGCCTTAAGTTTGTATGTTCTGTGTCTGTATGGTTTCTCTCGCCAAGTTTAAAGACTAATGTATGTGTACACATATTTCCAATTTAGAGTGTAAATGGCTCTCTGTGTGTGTTTGAAGGTGTATAAACTCAGGCCCCTGCAACCCTGAAAAAGATAACTAGGTATATATAATGGATGGACCTTTAAATGTTTGTCTTAAGTATGTATGAGGCAGGTACGGTTTGTGCATTATGACAATAAAAACACAGTGAGGTTATAATCCGTATCAGAGGAGCAAAAACAACAATAATGTCAGCATTCAGTGTTGGCTTTTTATTTGCAGGATTGCCATTCTTGTACCTTGCAACATGCTGTTGCTCTTGTCTTTTTCTTAATGCCAGTGGCACAGAGACTCCCATTTGACCCAGTGCATCCATTTGAGAGCAGTGAGGGAGAACAAGGGCACTATGCTAATGCACTAAATGCAGGGAAAAAGGGAGAAGCTGAGCTAATGTATCAGAAAAAAAAGAAGGCAGGTCATGAGAAGTGCACTTAGGAAGAATCCTAAAATGTTATATATAATGTCAAGTACCACACATCCAGCCTGCAGGTCATTCACATTAAAATACATATACAAACACTATATATATTTTATATACATATACAATCATTTCAACACGTCTGGGAAGATTTCTCATCTTTCAACAGATTACTGTGTAAAATATTATGACTAAAGCTGCCTTTTTCTTCCATTTGCTCCTTTAAATGAACAGTCAGTATTCAGTGGAAACGACTGCATGCAGAGACTGTAAACTATGACAATGAACACAGTAATATTGGGTATCAACCTTCTGAAATTTGTCCCTCAGTACTCATCCTAATACATTGCAGGGTGTTTTCTTCTGCAGAGCAGTGTCATCTTTAGGTGACATTTTTTCCAATTCATGTTATTTTGAAGACATTTCTCCACATAAATTGCTGTGTTAAAGTTTATCGGCTGAACTTGCTGTGCATTTGTTCCTCTTTCTACAGCAGCTGCATCCAGGTAAAAGCAATTAGCAATGATTGATTTCTCTTACTAAAATCAATCACAAAGGGGATTTAGATATAGATGAGATGAGTTATAGATCTATTTTTAAGCTTTGAGACAAGTAAGATATGGATTGTACTAAAAGAGCTGCAACTCAATATGAAGATATCAGTACATTTTGTACATTTAAGTCATATTTTCATGGGAATATACAGTTTTAAATACATTTCTTCAATTCAACAGTTCTTTGTTTTTAGTTTAGAATTTAAATGCCAAATAAATGCATTTTCAACCAATTTGTTCAGCACAGGAAAATGTGCCAATTGTCATTTTAAAGCCACTGTAAAGAGAATTATAAATGTCATTAAAGACTGGTTTTAAGTTTAATAGCTGATACAATGCAGAGAAGATAATGCAACAGCACATCAGCAGCTGCCTTTCATCTGATATAAAACAAAGTAATGGGGGAAAAAGTGTGAATTTCTTCACCGCTAAAACGAATAAGTTGCTCACAGAAAATGGTCCAGTTTATCCCTTGAATTCAGTTTTCCCTTCCTAGGTCTCAAACCCCAGGAATTCCACATCCATGTCATCACTCGACTGAAAAAGCTCCCAAAGTTTCAGCACAGAGTTGTCAGGAATGTCACTTGGCTTCACATGTCCAACCTGTGTGTCCACTTTCCGTCTTTTGCGTTTATAAACCCTGACCTTCCTCCGTATTTTCCGAACTGGAGAGAAGCTTTGTGTTGAGAGACTTGGATCTTCCTTTTCTGAGAGGCTGTTTACAATAATTTTGTCGGGCAACGCGTTTCCATCCACAACAGCCTCAATTACTGAGGAATCCTGTTTCTTATCAGACTCCTCTTGTTGATTTGTTATCACATTAAGACTTTTTGAGGAAACTTTGTTCTGTTTGTTTATATTATGGAAGTGCGAGGTTGAGCTCTTCATGTCCTCAGTTATTATTTGGTCCTTTGGGTCAACCTGAGTAGGTCTGGAGGTAATAGAGGTGAGACATTCACCTCTAGAGGGTGCTGTCTTCATCTCAGGCTGTGGCGTTTGAGTGCAAGAAGTCAAGGAATTCTGTCTGCCAGGAAGCTTAGGTGCAAGAAATTTGTGCTTGGATCTGTCTGAGTGAGTGTAATGTCTCCTAGAGTCGCCCTCTCTGTGAATCAGAGGAGCAGAAGCCAGAACTGATCTGATTTTTAAAGGGTCTCCTGAATAAGATCCCTTGTGCCCATTGACAGTCCAGCACTGCTCTTCTTTAATAATGTCTGTGGTAGTGAGATCTCTCTTGTGCCTGAGCTCAGCTTTCCCACACGGTCCAGGAGCCACAAGAACAGAGGAAACACTGCACTTTGGTCTGACAGGAGTCAAAGAAAAACAATGATTATCGAGTGAAATAGAAAGATAAAAGATCTGAATAGGTCAAGTGGGATTACATTTACATGTATTTTTTTGTTCTTGTGAACATATAATATTGATGGAAGTTTTAAAGGAACAAATTACCTTTTAACTTGAGTTCTGACGTGGAAGAAGTTGCAGTGCAGGGTTGAAACCAGTTTGTCCACCACCAAGTATTTGTCACTCTTGGAGAAAGTCTTGTGCCGTTCACTCTGTAGATGCTGAACAAATAAAAAAAAGAAACTACTACACACTGGACCGTATAACACATATCAGTATTATTACACAAGATAGCATACATATCTGGAATAAATCTAGAACTTCATATTGTTCTGAAGTTTACCAGCTGCTAAGTTGGTAATTTATTATTATTTCTAAACACATTACCAAAAAACAGCTAAATAATGTGTAAACACAAAAGCAATTCTGTACTTAAATCTTCTCAGTTTGCTTCTACAAATGTGATCACTTACTGTTGTGACGTTCTCATATTTGACCATGCAGCACTCGCAGTAGCCACCTCGTTTCTTGTCTCTGTTCTTCTTTCGGCCGTGTGCTCTCTCTTCACTGGAGCCCAGAGGACAAATAAAACCAAACTAAGATGAAACAAGCCGGGATTTCTGCATTTTGATAAATCTTTAGTCAATCTTGACGAGTGGCTCCAGCAGAGCCAACTCAAATTGTGCAGACAAGCACTTTAAATTCTCTTCACAAGAAGTTTTAAAACATACCAAATGTGTCAGACTGAATTACACAAACACATTTTTAATCAGTGTCTAGTGGAGTTTGGCTTCACCAGTGTTAATTAATTAAAAACAAAGCTACACAATTAGTTGAGAACAGACATCATTAACACAACAGCAATAAACAGCAACAGCAAAATGGTGGGAGCAACAATTAGTTAGTTAAACTGACTGTGAAGGAACATTTAGGGATATGTTAACTGATACTTTTTTGAAATACAAGTCCCTGTGAAAGTGTGACACTGTGCTGTCCTAATGTTAGCTAAAGTTAACTAAAAGCAAAGCAGAGAAGAAACACCATACCTGTGACCCCGCTGTTTGTTTCCAGGAGGATCCTTGTCCTCGACACAGAAGGGACTACCAGGAGGAATAGTCTTCAGGTTAAACTCAGGCATGTTTGGCATAGTGAGGTAGATTGGTCGGTAGTGTCTGAGGAAGGGAAAAGAAACATTTTAAAGTCAACAGATGTAAACAACTCAAAGACAGTCGGTGGATATCAGCTCCTTTCAGCCTTCTTACCTGCTTGAATCCTCAATCTTGACGAACGGCTTAGTGACCCTCCCCGCTGGAACAAACATCATTGACAGTCAATTTAAATTTGAGGATGTATTTACAAAGATCAAAAACAATGGACAACATTTCTGCCAATAAAAATGTTGGTAATAACTACATATAAATTGTTTACTCCTAGATAAGTCATTTACCTTTGCATTTCTGAAAGCCTTGTTTTGCTGCTGCCACCGCTTTGACCTACAAAGAATGACAGAAACACACTTATAAAACAGAATAAACAACATAATACAATGTTAAACAACTTTTAAGATAATAATCCCAAAATGTTAGTCATCTTTTAATTAAAAAAATGCATTTAAGAATTTGTCTGTACACTTACACTTGTTTTGACAGCAGTGGTAGCAGGACACTGGACCTTTTTCTTCTTCTGAACATATGCCATAATATCTACAAGTGCCGTAAAAGAAATAAAACCAAAGTAAGTAATTCTTTACATTATACATTCAGATATTTTATACATAACAGTTGATGTTATGTAACAAAAACTGATATAACCTCAACAACATACCATCTATGTAGAGGATTTTCACACCCCAATCCAGAGCATTTGACAGGATCTTGTTCATTTGTACCCTCTCCTAAAAACAAACAAGTGTATATTAGCACAGAAAACAAAAGAGGTCATTAGAGTTACTTACTAAACTCATTCGTGTTGACTTAACAAACCTGCTCTTTCACCACTCTCTCCACCAAAGACTTCCCTCGACTTGTAACAAACTGCAAAACAATAACAGAAAATGAAAATCTATGACATTACCAATGCACCGAGTCAATAGAGCGTTAAATAGACCTCTAAACACATAGTTGTACTACGGTTGATGAAAAAGTGAACTCACTGTGTCGGTTTGGCCCTGAGATCTGCTTTTGTCCCCATGGCTGCCAGGCTGGTGCGGCTTTGAGCGAGGGTGAGGTGAACTCGGACCAGAGTCCGGGCTGGGGACAGGAGAGTCCTGCCTGAGGCACTGCACATATCTAGCCTCCCTCTTGTTGGATACCAGATACTTAATTTCCTTACTGAAGAACTTTTCAACAGTCTGAGTGACAAACGAGATTGACACAGGATAAGGGTTTTGGGGAATCTTTAAGAACTTTACACCCGTCTCTTCCTCAGTAACAAATGCAACACACAAAGAATGTGAACAGTGTCTTAGAGGGTTGGGTATCCAAACAAAATACATTTTTGGTACAGAAACATGTCCATAGCAAACAGTACTGAAAATGGTCCGAAAAGCTGGGACTAAGTGTTTTTATTTAGATAATTTACATATAGGTTTTGCCAATTTTAGTCTAACAGGGGAAAATGTGTTTCGTCTCACCCCTCCCAGTTCTTTGATGTCACTCTCCAACGTCTCTGCTATTCTGTTTGATGGCAGATCCAGGTAAAACACTTTCCCAGCAAAAGGTTTGACTTGAGCAAGAGAAGACACAAGCGATGTTGGCTTAGCTTGACTCAGTGTTGCCTTGTCACCAGCAGTGACGCCTTTCCCTGAAAGGCAATTAGTAAAGTCACAGGATGAGAGGAGGAGTCCAGACGTAATCTCAGCTGGGGTGCTTGAGTAAGTCCTCAAGTGATCAACCACAAACCATTCATGTGATTAACTGACTGATCAAGCATTTGTTTGGTCAAATGTCAAACCTTTAATGTTTACAGATTAAGAAAGACAACCAGCCCATTACCTGATTACAGCTGCAACCTGTATGTTATGTAGTCTGTATACTAATCTTGTCCTCCTGTTTCTCACTATTGTAACTCTACTACTTCTGTCTATTCTGTACATATCTGTCTATTCTCTCTCTTAAAAGATTTATAATATCTATATAGCTTTAAGTTTTCCTTATCAAGGGTTTGAGGATGCAGGGTTGCCTGTGTTGTGCAGACTATAAAGCCCTCTAACTGTTAAAGTTGATTTGGTATGACTTTAACTGAAGACAGGCTTTAAGTGAAGATAGTTGGGACTCATATCTTCAGGTGTTGTATAAGTCAGTGATGGTAATAACCAGTGTAAAAAAAAATCATTAAGTTATTACTCATCAGTCTTCTAAGAAGTAATAATTACTTTACTCTGCCAACAGCAATTAGTTACACTATATTACTCTTCTGCTTGTGTCCTTTCTCCACAAAATTCAGATTGACGACGATGGTAATAACTATTAAATAGTTTAATCCTAGTTTCAAATTAAGTAGAAAACAGGCAATGCTAACAAAACAAACACTAGTATAACACAGTAAATATATAATACCATTACCTTGCCAGTTGGGTCCTGTGTGCCTCGGGATGCGTTTTGGCTTCATTTTATTCTCTTTCATTGAGAAAAAAATAAATGTTTTCTTGCCCTCCAGTCTCGAGTAAACATGCCCCAGGAAGTCCTCGTCCGTCCGCTGTGTGTAAACAAACAAATGACTATTTACAAATCAGACAAAGAGAAATCTAAACAACTGTGAGCGGTGTAACGTTAGCAGACGTTTGGGTTGTTATTGTTATTGTTTCCCTCCCCGTTATTAAACTGTATCTAGCTGACGGTAAGGTTAAAGAGCAGTCTCACCGTGCAGAGTCTCGGTTCTCCAGCGGACAGCTTTTGTCGGTTAGCTCAACTTATGACGTTTACGTTACATTATTTCCGTAGGCTAACGGAAATAAACGGCCCACGGCCGGTGTTAGCACGTTTAATACCACATAATATCGATCCGTTATCGGTTTTACAACCGTTTAACCAGCTGTAGTAAACTTTTTAGGTCACTGACGTTACTTTGCGAACGTTTCTTTCCCGCTTTAAATCCAATGGTGGGCGACGTCTATGTTGCCATGTTTGACACAACGTAGCCACTATCGCGTTTAAAAGCACTAAGATACCAAATTACACTCACAGATTTGGTTTGTCTAACAGATTTTATTCTTGAACAAAACAGGTTTTATGTGCTGTACGTTGCTGTCATCCTCTCCATACGTCCATCCTCTCCATACCTTCGAGAGACTGAGAAGTGGTTTGTTTTTACGGGAACTACTCAAACCTGGCAACACCGGACATAAGTAAACGCAGCCTTTGTGTTTGCGTGTGACGTTTCCACATTACTGTTAAATAAAATAAATACACACATTAAATAAAAACATCAAAAAAATAGTTTGATTCAGAAACACATTTTATACACTACACAACGTTTACATACGTGTTTTTATATAATTTATTCCGTTTAATGTAACGTTAACGTGGACAAAAAAATTCGGAAAAAGTTCAAGAATGTGCTACGCTGAAATTAAAATTGCGTAACATTGGTCCTCTTGTAATGTCTGCTGTGATGTAAACCGACCAGCTCGGTAGGGTTACAACCCCTTCACACACACACGTGTATAAAGCTAGCATTTCCTTCTGGGGCCCGTAGGATAGTAAATGTCACACTGTCGGGAAACTACAAACCCTGAGAGGAATGAGTGTGTTCATGGAGGACTTTGTTAATGCTGAGGTCCTTTAGCAGGTAGGAAGTTGAGCTAAATTAATGAGCTAACTGAGGCTAACCAAAGAGCTGTCTTCATCATGTAATGTGACGGCACCTGAAATTATAATGTAATAACGTACTAACCGCGCTAATTTAGTTAATTTGGTCAAACGTTATTGTACACATGCTACCTAACATACAGCTTTAAATGATTCTAATGTCGTATCTGTATCTGTGTGTTTTCTTTAAGAAGACAGTATGAGTGGTCAAAGTCCTGCTCCTTCAGCCAGTAATGGCATTACTCCTCTCCAGCAGATGGTGGCGTCCTGCTCCGGAGCCCTCCTCACATCTTTGTTTGGTGAGATACCCTGACTGACACATCACAGGATGGTCATGTGTTTTTTTTTTTTTTTTAATCACTTGAATGGTGTCTTTAATTATTATGCAACAGTACTGATAATAATCTGCTTACCTGTTCTTCCAGGCAGTCACTAGTTTCTGTTCAATTCAACACATTATGAAAATCAACTTAAAAAAAGACTTGAAATCTACATCTCAGTTGCCACTTTATTACGTACACTTAGATAAAACTACTATACTGTTTTAAAGAGGCGTTGACTCAAGTTTACAGTCATTTGTAAACATTGTGATGCGGCTGTGTTGTAATGTTCAACAGCCTCCAAAGTGACCGTGGAGTTGAATCAACCCCCCCTTAAAACAGTTTTATGTATTGATTTATTGCAGGGGTGATGTATTACACTGCACTACTTTATGCTGTACCCAGAACTATCTAATAATCTATCAGATGAGTGTAGTTTGGACAATCCACAGTGAACATTGTGGGGGCTTTTACATTTTCTGTTAAAGGTACTGTATCATTTTTGTGGCGGTGATGCTGATGAGAAGCTGAATCAAGTTTCAAATTTATGAACATTTTCATAGTGTGCTGAGATGAAACATAATTAAGTTGCCTGAAATGTCAGAAAACATAAAAAAAATCAGTTTTGCTCCTGTAAGTTGTTGTCATGTTACATTTTACCTCATCTGACATACTTCACTAACAATTCAAACACATGTACAAGCATCTGTGTATTATATAAGTACAGTAGATCTACATTCTACAAAGAAAGACAACATTTATACGGTTTTCCTATTGTCATCCACAGAGGTTATTAATAGGTTTCTGCTTCTTTTCAGTCACACCTTTGGACGTTGTGAAGATCAGACTGCAAGCACAGAAAAATCCCTTCCCCAAAGGTATAATGAATATGGTCGAATATGATGTTTATTAATACCTTAAATGTAAGATGCTCACGTGTGTTTTTAAAAAAAAATGTCTTTCAGGGAAATGCTTTGTCTACTGCAATGGACTTATGGACCACATATGTGTGTGTGAAAACGGCAACTCCAAGGCCTGGTACAAAGCCTCCGGTCACTTTAATGGCACACTGGTAAAAGAAATCACATTACACATCAAACGTCACTATTTAATTCAATTCAATTCAATTCAATTCAATTCAATTCAATTTTATTTGTAGAGCGCCAATTCATAACAGAAGTTATCTCAGGACACTAAATAGAGCAGGTCTAGACCGAACTCTTTAAAACATTACAGAGACCCAACAGTACCACCATGAGCAAGCACTTGGCGACAAGGGCAAGGGCAACTTTTGGTTAGTTTTAACCAAAATAAAAGGTTGAGGTTTAGGGTTACTAGTCAGACAAGTTCCCTATTGTGTTTGTGTTTTGATTTAGTGTCTGATAGAGCCTGTTTTTGTATAAGTGTGAAGTAGAGCTGCACAGTCATATTGTGACAGAAAACTGCCAACAGCACGTCTTCCTTTCAACACTGACTCTTCTCTGCATCTCTGCAGGATGCCTTTGTCAAAATAGTACGCCGAGAAGGAGTAAGGGCATTATGGAGTGGGCTGCCTCCAACCCTGTGAGTGTGAAGTCTTCTGTGTCTCTTTTAGTCCCTCGTGGATCTTCATTCTGCCTACTCGCCTCTTAAAGCCGAGTTATTGTGCAAATGTGGTTGGTCGACAGTCGTTTAGCCTTTAGCTGATGTGCTCATTAAGGGAGCTTTCGTTTGAAGTTGTACCAATTAGTGGCAAACCACCTACGGTTTTCTTGAAGGCTGATTACCAAAGATTGATTTATGTTAAGTATTATCGTAATGGAAATTTCTTTAATAAATTACGTTTGTTAATTTATAATTAGTGTTGTTTTTGTGGTTGACTTTTTCCCTGCCTGGAATAATTCTAGATGGAAACCTAATTTATGGATATTTCCCTGTATGTGCCTGTCTCCAGTGTGATGGCAGTGCCAGCTACAGTGATCTACTTCACATGCTACGACCAGCTGTGTGCAGCGCTGAGGGTCAGGATGGGAGACTACTCTCAGGAGGCTCCTCTCCTGGCTGGAGCTATCGCTAGAGGTGAGCTGACTGCTGTCGTGTCACTAAAGAGAACAGGACAGATTACAGCTGTCACAGAGCATCAGTGGAAAGTGTTGCACAGTTTAACATCTGTTGGAGTTGCATCCAATAATTATTGTTTACAGAATGGAACTTATCCATTATCCGTTAGAGTATAAGTTAATTTATATTGCTGTATTTTTAATATGCTCGTGGTTTAATTTCCAGATTAATATCCACCCACACTTTTTGCCCTACAACCCTGAGTTTCTGTAAATTCATCCTACATCCTAGATTTAATTTTGAAAACATACATATTCTGACACAAATATGACCCTGACTTGGTTCAACTCTGTTTTTAATAAAGGCCCATGAGCAATTATAAAAAAGTGTCCTATCAAATAAAGACATAAAAAAGCCATCTTAATAACTTCTGATAATTTATCTTATATGCTGTATTTAGAGGGACTTTGTAACATCTGTCCAGTGACTGTAGCTCATTCACGATTCCTTGAGTACCATGGAAGTACCTGATAAATTAATTGGAATGACCAGGTATCCTGAAAGAATCTATGTTGTCCTGGAAAATTGTTATTGTATTTTAGCCTGTGCTGTAGCCAAATTAATGTTGTGGTTCAAGGAAAATTCAGAAAGCAGAACAATCATCTGTGGTGAGAACAGCCAAGCGTGGCACAAAAGCGAGATGACACAGAGTGAGTGCTGCCCTGTCCTGTCAAGAAAAACTCCTGGAAAATGTCCTGGAAAGGTCCAGGAAAACTATTTCTTAAAAAAAAAACCTCATGGCTAACTCTCATTTACAGCAGTGTTTTATCAATGTCCACTGTCCCTGCGAAATAAACCAAGTAAAAATATTATTTATATATTTTAAAAGAGTGAGAGAGAGAGAGTGAAGGTGAAGATGATAACAATTTGCTTGATGATTATTCATAAAGAGATACACTACTCTCTTAAACTCAAAAAATTGTTTTTCAGTGACAATTAAGCTTTTTTTTAACTCTCAATGACATGTTACCTGGTGTGTTTTGAACTTTTTCTCTTTGTTTTCTCTGTGTGTTCGTCAGTGGGTTCAGCGACAGTCATCAGCCCTCTGGAGCTGATCCGTACGAAGCTGCAGTCTCAGAAACAGTCGTACAGGGAGCTGAGCGACTGCATCCGCTCAGCAGTGCAGGCAGAAGGCTGGCTGTCTCTTTGGCGGGGTTTGGGGCCCACGCTCCTCCGAGACGTGCCCTTCTCTGCCATGTACTGGTACAACTATGAGAATGGCAAGAGCTGGCTATGTGAACGGTATAACGTCAGAGAACCCACGCTTACCATTACCTTCGTATCTGGAGCAGTGTCTGGCTCTGTAAGTGTGTCTAAACAGCATTCAGCGTCTCAACCTGTACACGAGGACATTGATTAATGTGACAGAGAATATCACAATCCATAAATGAACTGTAATCTGATTATGAATCTAGTAATTAACTATTTCCATTTCTTTCAGATTGCGTCCATTGTAACTTTGCCTTTTGATGTTGTTAAAACGAGAAGGCAGGTGGAGCTGGGAGAGCTACAAGCAAAGAATTGTAATTACAGCATTAAACTTTTATTGCTCCTCAATATTGCAAATGTTGTACATCAGTGGATTCCTAACCAGTACTTTTACCTGAAGTGGTACCTTGGCAGCATGAATATATATACACATTTTACATTTAGGTGGAAAATCAACACATAAATAAGATTATAATTTGGTGTCAGGCTGATCTTTTGTACACAGAAGATAACCATAAACTACCACCCATGATATCCATTACTTTTATCCAACTCAACGTCTCTGCTTTCTGCTCTCAGCTCTCAATTGCAGCACTCAATGTTAAGATGTTTCATATGTCTGAGGTTGGTGGGAAGTGGTTAAGTGGTTCCAGACATTGATCACTGTATCCGCTAGTATATAATTAATCTAATCATTGATTGGCCAGTCATTACAAACCTGGATTGCTTTAATTTGAAATTTCCCTCTTAAATGACAATATAAGAGATCCCAAATTTTCCAAACATACCAAATACGTCAGGCTGAATTTTGAGTCTAAACATCCTGTAGCCTCAATGAAGAGTTAGAACAAGCTGATGCAGAATATATATGTAACGCTGTCAGACGGTGTGGAATAATATGATTATTCCTACATTAAAGCTACTTAAGGGGAAACGACAAGAAAATGTTTGTGTTAAATGAACACATTTGAACACTGCTTCACATTACTGAAACTATATCTGGTCAGTTTTTAAAAGGACTTAATGGCTTGTTTTACGATGTCTTTGTCTTTTCAGTGTCCTGTCAGGTCTCCACCTTCAGTGTGATGGGCAGAATTGTGGCGCAGGACGGCTTTGGTGGACTGTTTGCAGGTAGAAACTTTTGTCATGTTTTGTGAATCATTGTAGTAATATCTAACTAAATGTTACATAATCACTCACCTGGACTATCCGTCGCACATTGCAAATATCCCTTTATGTTTCATACTGTGAGCAAACTGTACAGCTGTACAATCATATTCTACATGTTTCTTTTTTTGTCTTTATTTCATCTTTATTTAAGTTTTCCTCATACTATGTTTATTGTTATGCACCAATATACAAAGGCAAATTCCTTATATATGAAAACCTACTTGGCAATAAAACCGATTCTGATCCTGATTATCTGTTGCCTCCCTGCCAGGTTTCCTCCCCAGGCTGATCAAAGTGGCCCCGGCCTGTGCCATTATGATCAGCACTTACGAGTTTGGAAAGGCCTTTTTCCGCAAACACAACCAGGAGAGGATACTCAGGCCGCTGCACACCAGCAACACCTGATAGTTTTCCTGTCATTTCCCTCTAAACCAAAACACTGAAGCAATTATTACTAGACTATACCTGAAATGAAAAGGCTTGTTTGCCAAATTAAAAACACAAGCAGAAATGGAAGATAAAAAGACCAATTTCTGCATTAAAAGGTATTTTAGATGATAAAAATGTATATTAAATGCATTTCTATTAGTATTTATAAATTAATATTCTATGGTTTTATGTTCACTGTTAAAGATCCTGTGCGCACAACAAATCATGTTTAAATCATGTGCTTCTTGATACATTCATCAGCCAGCAGATGGCAGCCACAGTTTTGTTAATAATATGTAATTTTCCAGGTCCCATGTGTGGCTGTCTCTCTGGGATCATGTGCACTGTGCCTTTAGTCTTTATATTAGAGATGTAAGATTAATCCCCCCCCCCACCTTTTTCCCACCAGATGTTTTGCACTTCCACTCCTGTAACATGTGAATAAATGTGTGACAGACACACACACAAAGAGCATGTCAGCATAGTGTGATTGTAGAGCTATGTGAGGTTTTTTTCAGTTCGACACGAGACTCTTGATAAAGACTGTGACGCATGTAAACTCTATGAAAGTGTGACACCACAAATGTTCAATATACATACCTGAGGTTCTTTTCATCCATTGAGTTTATAAAAGCTTTATCAGCACATTGTTCATTGTCGGCAGGAGATATAAATGTCAATATCAAATTCCCACTGTTTGAGTAAGTGGAGTTTATTCAAAACAAAGGATTAAAAAGGCAAAGAAATCTAATAAAACATCTGCTGTAAGTCTGTGCAATGTCTGCTGGAACGAGCTAAAGGCAAAGTCATGAGTTCAGTGCTGAGGTACACAGCTAGTCAGCAATAATACAAATTACATTTATACTGATATTCTGCAAACACAGTTGTTTCTCTTTCTCAATGTCTGTTTCAAGATAACACAGACCATTATTCAGTGGTAAGAATGATCTACTTGTGGTAACTAGCCATTAAAATACTGCATTTGAATATTTAAAGGGAATAATAACAATAGTCTGTCTGATAAAGCTAAACTTTAAAGTAAACCCATAACTGACGGGTGAATATTAATCATAGTGATCATTACCTGAGAACCAAACCATGTGATACTGCTTTATGCACAACATTGACTACATAAGATGATTATAAAAAAGAAAGGTGAAAGAACATTTACATAATGCAAAATTCTGATGACATAATCCGACAAAAGTGTCCCGTCCGTAACCATCATGATCATAAATCAAAGAAATGGCAATATTTAAAAAACAACTTTAAGATGGCAGCACAAACAGCACAGAAGATAATAAATTCACAGTGACGAGAGACTAAACACTGACCAAGGCTTACAGGATGTTTGAGTTCTCTTCTAATCTCTGTTCTGATCAGTCAGTATTTTCAGCATGCTATAATCTCCATGCTATAAACCGTCTTCGAGAGGGGTGAAAACACTTAATCACTGTCCTCTCAATACTGTAACATGACATTGTAATTCTTACATCCACTTTCTATTTTTTAATTTATTACAAAGAAGGGGGGGGGGGGACAATCGATGCTTCACAGATAAACACCAACAAAACAAAATAATTTAAACAGTTCGATGAAGTTACAGCTGCAGATCCTCTATAAAGAGGCAGGGGGTTGTTTCAACTGAATAGTACATTAATAAGACATTATTCAGCCTGATGGAGTTGAGTTTTAACACAATTTAAAGAACATACTACAACAACTTGCAAACCTGACCTCCATCTGTTAAAGCTCTACGCTCCACATACGGAACACAAACGTCTACAAACAGCAAATCAATATCCCAAACATTTACAAAGTTCCTGGATTGTCTGGCTGTGGTGGTGTCTGGGTTTTTTTTTTTTTTTTTCTATTCCCTATGAAGGAGTGATGCCCGGGCTGCTGATCTCTGTGGCAGGACTGGCCAAACACTCGCTGGACTTCAGGCTGGCTAGAGACTTGTAGCTGGCGACGGAGGTCAGGGAGCCACACAGACCTCTTAAAGATGGAGTTTCCTCTTTACCTGAAAGACATGATGCACAGACTTCAGGCTCATGTCAGAGCGGAGACCCTCCTGGACAACGTCGCTTGAAGGAGACGTACCTTGGTGGGGCCAGTGCGTGCCGGCCGGCCTGGCCTCCAGACTCAGCGTGTGTGACGGTTCGAGAGAAGTCTGGGAGAGGCTCATGTCTGCAGACAGCTGCTCCAGACTCTGGAAACTCTTCCTGCAAAGAGAGGATAGCAGATCAGTAACAGAACACAGAACTGGGGCTGAAACAATTAGTCAATCAACAGAAAATGATATAACAAGCATTTGTAGAATTTATTGATTTAATTAAGTAATTAAACAAACAAAAATATCAAACATTTGATTCACAAAATGGATGATTTGCTGATTTTCTTATGAACTGTAAATTGAATACCTTTGAATTTTAGACGGAAACAATCTTCTTGGGTCATGAGACATTTTTCACCATTTTCTGACATTTTAGAGACTAAACAATTACTTGTATAATCAAATAATGTTTATGTTTTTTGTTATTAAATTCTTGCAAATTATTAAAGGGTACATCGTTTTTGTGGTTTAATATAACCAATAACAGACGATATACAGAGATAAATACATCACAAATAGAGTACACAGATTAGAATCTGTAATGTGTAAATATTTCCACTCCCTCTCAGCTCCCATTTGAGCCGCTGATCCCAGCCACTGATAATCCAATGTCAATATATCTACATATGCCACCACACCACTGACTTCCATCTAGTTGCTGGCAACCTTTTTTGCTGCAGTAGATGCAGCAAACCATAGTTTGAGTTAGACTAATCATTAAATAACAATATTTGTGAGGAGCAGGGGAAGAGAAATCCAGAAATCTGTGCATCAGGTAATTAGTTGCAGCCCTAGACACAACCAAACTAAACCTGGAAGCTGAAGGAAGTCAACTTATCCACATACTCCTCCCACTGTCCCGTGCTCTTCCTGTACAGCAGCGTGTCCAAGGCAACGGCGTTGGCATCCAGGGCGACAGGAGACGGCCACTGATTGGTCAGATGGGCTGTCAACTCTTGTCTGGACCGCAAATCATTGTTCTTCAGCACTGTCCTAAAAGGTAAGTGTCCAAAGTTAGAAACAATGTATTGATTAATAAAAGGAAGGGAGTCATTTAATGCATTCAATATAATCTGCACAAATACATAAATAACATAACACAAAAGACTGAAAACTGTACACAGAAAAAAAGACTAAAAGCTCATAGAATAGGCTATTATTCCCTCATCACAGATGCATCAGTATCAGTTGTGACAAGAAAAGGTGTCACAAGTACATATATAGTTTTTCCATTAAAGAGCACGGACAGGTTTATTTCATCTTGGTCACAATTATGTGAATTATGTGTATATTTAAAACCAATTTAAGGGATTATTGGTAGAGTGTTGGTGTAAACAAAAAGAATATCAGCCAATATATAGGATCAAATATTTTTAAATCACAAACATTGGTCAGGCTGTACAAATCGGCTATTTCATCCTCACTGTCAAAATCATAAACCTGTCTTGTCATGTTGTCAAACACAGGAAATCTCCGACACCTGTCACTATATTTATAGTATATATATATTATAATATTTACAATTTATACAAAAAGGGATAAAAAATAAACCAAAAACAAACAAAACAAAACCAAAGGAAACCCACCCTGTTAGATCAGTTCATCATCCATCATTTTGTCATTATATCTGTCACTCTTTCTTTAAAATTCAAACCTTTGTGGAGTATTTTTATTTTGTATCTTAAATCGTCTCTGATCACACTTCTACCTGCATGTTTACTCTCTCACACACACAGACACAGACTCACACTGTCACTCTCACAGTCAGTTGTAGTCAGCGCCTCACGCTTCGTGTCACTTTGCTTTTCACTCTATTTGCATTTGAAAACATCCACTGACTCATCACACTGGCTTGAGACTGCAACTTCATTTCCAGAGATCGTGACACAAATCCTCCGGACAGACTTTGTAGCCGACATTGAATCAGTGATCAAATAAAGAGAAAGCGTTTTCTCACTGGTTGGAACATTAATGGAAATTAATGGAAAGACACAGCGCTGAGGCGGCTTTTCCTCTTGGCTAAAAGCAGCACCCACTGCAACGGATTCGACGACACACAAATAACAAACTGCCTGCAACCTCCAGGCTTCTCGCTGTTTCCTGAATGTCAAATTCACAGCTGGATGTGTTGCAAAGTCCTCTCCACCTCACTGTCAGCGACCTTACATGCACTGGCTGACGAACACTAAAAACACACACACACACACACACACACACACACACACACACACACACACACACACACACACAGCTGGGGCTGAACTTACAGTTGGTCCTGTAGTTCCAGGATGATGTACTCAAGCTGCTCTTTTTCCAGTGTGTGGGACAGGTGAGTGTCTGCTAGGCTCTGCTGAAGAGCTTTGTTGTGAGACACAGCCTCTGACAGCTGGGCTTCTCGTAGACGCACCAGCTCTTCCAGGTAACCCTGAGACAGACACACAAGCACACACAGTTTCTCCTTTGTTTGTTTACTGCCATGAAGATACTGCTGTTTGCTGAATTATTTGTTTTGGCTCAAAGCAAATTAAATAACCAAAGACTGTGGCAGCTGAAGCCTCAGAGGGATGAAACATTACGGACGATGTGAGAAATAACATCTAGCCGAATGTGAGCTTACACATTTCCTCCTGGCATTTCACAAACCGAGCCCCTAATTATTATGCATCAAGCAAAATGTCACGCTGGCATATATTACCACCATTTGTTTATCCCAGACACACTGAGGTGCTACCTTCTGCTCCAGCGCCATGCGATACTTCTGCTCAAAGCGCTTGCACTTGCTGACCAAGTTGCTCTGCTCGGTGAAGATGGAGGCGGCGGTGGCCATTTTGTCGGGGGTGCTGCTCTCGCTGCCGCTGCTCCCCATAGTCCTCATCTCCTCCTCGTCACTGCTGATGCTGTCCGCACTGCACAAGGAGTTTGTCTCATGTTAGTACACATCCTATAGAATATCTGCCCCCCTGACCAAAGCTGAAGTCTTGCCTTCTATAGTTCAAACTTTTATATGAATTTTCACAACTCTGCTGTAGATAACAATGTAAATATCCCAATAAATATGACTTTGTAACATCTAATACTACCCCCACATGAAGAGACGCAGGCTATTCGACCAGTGCATGCTGAAATAAAGCTTGATACACATGAATTTATAGTTAAATTATATAATTTGGCTTGTCTGATCAGAACAGTTTGAAGTCAACAGCAGTCCTTTCATTCAACCATGAATAAAGCACAGCTGTTTGGCTTGTGTGTAAAAGCTCTCAGTTACATATCCAGTATCTTCGTAGAGCAACACAGAACATTATGCTCTGACATCTGCCCTCAGATACAATAGTAAAGCAGCTTGTTGTAACAAATG